GGGAATTGCCGCTTGGAAGAAAGGCCCCGTCGGGGCGGCCTGGAGCCCTCAGTGGCGCGCCGGGGGGGGGCGGGGGGGCGGTGGCGGCGGCCGGGGAGGGGCAGCCGCTGGGGCGGAACTCTGCGGGGAAAGCCGCGAGCGGCACCGGCTTCCCGGGCGTGCCTTCGTGGATCCGGCGCTGCCGTAGCGGGGGTGCAGGACGCCCAGGGTGTGATTTCGGCGCGTGTTTCCCGTGGTCTGCAAACCCCGTTTCCTTATGACTGTAAGACTCAAGGGGGGTTTCTTCCATGCAGCCGAGCTGCGAGACTCCGACCTTCTCAGGGACAGCCGTAGTTTCTCTTCCAGTCGTCTCCGGTTCGCCCCTAAATTTCCCACAAAGGATAGATCTGATGAGGCTTTAAAGGTATGGCCTGGAGTGTTTTGAAAGGGTGCTGGAGACTTGAAGAAGCAGGTCGTCTTCGCACATCATGATGTGACATTCCGTTTGGCTTGCAGGCCAGGAACTGGGTGCTGGCTGGAGCTCTTCCTCTCAGGGTCACACAGCAGAGAGGGGCGTGTTCAAAACAGCCGCTATCGAGGATCTGGGTTCAAGACAAGGAACCTACCCAGTCTACAAGTCTGACTAACAAAGGGAACACAGGAGCAGAGACTCTGCCCCGCCTCCACCCCCAAGACTGAACCACCACACCTAGATATCAGAGGGGGGAGCGGACTGCCCCATCATAAGGCACACACTCAACATACCACAATGCACTTTCTGATGTCCCTTTGCCCCAGAATATGTGCAGAGTGCCCTAAGAACCTCAGAGGAGCCCTGCTGGGTCAGACCAGGGAGGGTCCCTCCAGTCCAGCCTCCCGTCTCACCCAGGGGCCAGCCAGTCCCTCTGGAGGGCCAACAACAGGGCAGGGAGGCCGAGGCCTTCCCCTGAGAAGAACCTCAGAAGAGCCCTGCTGGGTCAGACCAGGGAGGGTCCCTCCAGTCCAGCCTCCCGTCTCACCCAGGGGCCAGCCAGTCCCTCTGGAGGGCCAACAACAGGGCAGGGAGGCCGAGGCCTTCCCCTGAGAAGAACCTCAGAAGAGCCCTGCTGGGTCAGACCAGGGAGGGTCCCTCCAGTCCAGCCTCCCGTCTCACCCAGGGGCCAGCCAGTCCCTCTGGAGGGCCAACAACAGGGCAGGGAGGCCGAGGCCTTCCCCTGAGAAGAACCTCAGAAGAGCCCTGCTGGGTCAGACCAGGGAGGGTCCCTCCAGTCCAGCCTCCCGTCTCACCCAGGGGCCAGCCAGTCCCTCTGGAGGGCCAACAACAGGGCAGGGAGGCCGAGGCCTTCCCCTGAGAAGAACCTCAGAAGAGCCCTGCTGGGTCAGACCAGGGAGGGTCCCTCCAGTCCAGCCTCCCGTCTCACCCAGGGGCCAGCCAGTCCCTCTGGAGGGCCAACAACAGGGCAGGGAGGCCGAGGCCTTCCCCTGAGAAGAACCTCAGAAGAGCCCTGCTGGGTCAGACCAGTGAGGTCCCTCTAGTCCAGCCTCCCGCCTCATACAGGGGCCACCCAGTCCCTCCGGAGGGCCAGCAACAGGGCATGGCGGCCGAGGCCTTTCCCCAATGTTGCCCCCTGGTGCTGTATTCAGAGCCTCAGTGCTTCTGAAGGTGGAGGCACGCACAGATCTATACAGGAGCGTGATTATAGTGACAGTTTTATTTTCACTCCCTTTCCTAAGAAGCCCCAGCACGGAGTTTGCCTTTCCCTCCGACGCCGCCACCTGAGTTGCCCTTTCCATGGAACCACCGGTGTGACCCTGAGCTCTCTTGCCCTCTCCGTTTCTGTCAGTTCTCAGCCTGCAGCTAAAGACAGGATACCCGTTTCCTGCCCGTGTCCGGCCCCCTTGGACTCCCCCACACTCAACTTCATTTGCCACCCTGGTGCCCCCTCACCCAGTCTGTGGAGCTCCTCACAGCTGCTCTTGATTATCACTGTCTGGAATCATTTTGTGGCGGCTGTGCCACTTTTGCCAGGGCCCTGCTCACTCCCCCCCTCCCCGATTGTGTGTGACCAAATTTGCGTGGCTCCGATCCCCGGTATCGATCCTTCCCCCCCCCCCACTGCTCACCAGGATCTGTCGAGAGAACGGCCCACCTCGGCCCACCTCCTTTCTCTGCCTGCTTCTTCTTCTTTAACCTAATTCCCATCCCTAAGAGAAGCCATCTTCTTATCCCATGACTGCTAAACTTGCTCAGGAATCTTTGGTGAGGCATCTTGTCAAAAGCCTTACTGGCATGAGCGTGATATCATGCCTAAGGGGGTCCCCCCCGCCCGTTTTGCCTACATGTTTGCCCGGAGCGGCTGTCCTTGGGATGGGCCCCCCTGTGACCGACCGTCTAGAAGGCTGCCCTGTGGTGCTGGGCTGCATGTCCAGGCGGCCACCTCACGCAGTGTGCTGGAGATCCCTGGGTTGCCTGTTGTGGGGCCTTGGCGTACTACTGGGCCTGGGCCGAAGTGCAGGAGAGCAGGGTGGGAAGGAGGGGGGCGACGGGGACACTCTCCTTGCCCTTTGGCAGGCCACTTCAGAAGGCCGTCTTGTTCACAGAGGCACCGTGTGAAGCTCCTCCTTGGAGAACAGCAGTCTGGATCTGCCCTGACGCCCCCCCCCCTGGTCCCAGAAGAACTCCCCCCCCTTCCCCACATCCCCCATAGCACCACACCAGGGAGGCTGAGTTCTCTTTATTGAATTCACACACAGCTCGGAGATCTACACACGTTGGCCATGCAGGCGGGGGTGGGTGGGTTTTGAGGCGGGCGCCTGTTGGTTTCTGTCACTCTCCAAGCGGGGTGGTGGTGGTGGTGGTGGGTGTTCCCACGGGGGCCGGAGGCTGCTGCAGGGAGCCCCCCGGGAGGGGCTGAGCTTGGCTCAGGGCCCCTGGAGCCAGCCGAGGGGAGGCGGCTGGGGAGCAGCACGTGCGGGTGTGGCGGACTACGGGGAGGCCCCATCTGACAAGGGAGGAGGCGGGGTGGCCCTGCGGGGACCTATCGCCACGGATTCCCTCGAGAGAAGCGTCCTCTGGGGACGGCAGGGGGGAGCCAGGTGCCTTGCGAGGAGGCCTGGGGAGGCACTCCAGGGATTCCAAGCGGGGGGGGGGGCGCCACGTTTGGTTGGGGGAGCCCTGGGGGCAGAGGGACCCGGG